CGCCGGGTCGGCCACCGTAAGCACCGGTTTGTTGCCGTCGAATATACTGTATTCATATCAATGGGTCATACAATAAGTACGTAAAGACCGTGTTGGGTGGGAAAGTGGGTAGAAATTCTTAATTTTGTATTAATTTTTCACTAATTATAATCATAGAGGTACAAAAATTTTGAGCTTATACAATTAGTAATGCTGTAGGTATATAGAAGCGATATATATTATATATACTGGTATATCCCACTTGTACATCTATGAACTAGATCAATGTTCTGTTTTTTGAGATTATGCGCTTCAGTATTTGAAAAAGTGAATTTATTGACAAAGGTAAGGGCGCATTATACCCCGAATAAGCTTTTTAAAGCATTTTACCTAATTTTAAAGGTCTAGATTCATTTATACATGTGTAAGTTTGTTAAATTCTATGCGCAAGATAAATCAGATGCGTACTATATCAAACAAAACAGGGTAATATTTAATTATGAAATTAACATTATATAAATATTGCAACTTTTGATTTTATATAGTAATAAAAACTCATAGTATTAATAGTAGCTTATTTCAAAATACCCGTATAACTTTCCATATCTTTTAAGCCAGTCTATTTCAATATATGATTTGTGTCGACGAAATGTTGTCCCAAAACCAATGTACGGCATCGGACCCGGAATTCCCAGTTTAGTCCAGTAATTGAAGTTTCTGATCAGGTAACTGATTAACAAAATAAATATTAATGATGAAAATATTTTATAATTATTTTGCGCTACATACAAATAGGTAATTACTAAAACGAGCAAAATAATTGCAACAATATCATAAATGTGTTTAATATAAATTTCCATATTGCATATATCAAAACTGTAATTAATGTATTTATTTTGTGAACTAGAAAGAACTGAACATTTAAATGCAAAAAGTGTATTTCGATTTTGTAATTTGCTAATAAAGTTGCCTGTTCATCGTTGGTAACAGATAAAGAAAAGGTAGTGGTTGAATTATATTTATTTTTGCAATTCATGGTATCAAGAAATTTTAAAAATAAATTTATGCATACTATCTGGAACAATTTGCATAACAATGTGGTCAGAAATTATCAGAAAAAGCCGGAACACAATATCAGTAAAGCACTTTCAAAATCATTCGGAAGAAATATTCCCATAAACTTAAATATTGCCGGAAAGAAGTTTGATTATGAGTATAGATATGAGTTCAGAAAGTTTATATATGCTACTTAAGTACAACTTTTCTAAACTTGTTATCTATACTCATAATCAATCTTCTTTCCGGCAATATTTAAGTTTATGGGAATATTTCTTCCCAATGATTTTGAAAGTGCTTTACTGATATGTATTATTAGTCAGTCCCACACCCCTTATAAATAACTCAAATATGAGACGCCTGGTGTGCGGGCCTCAGTATGAAGTTTTATATTAAGATTTTTAATATTACAATTTTTAAGTTTATTTTATTTGCATTTAAAATTTTAATATTATATATCAATTAGACCTATTATTAAAAGGCATAAAGTATTAAATAACTTGTAATGGACAAATTTATTTAAATCGCACGTGGTGCAAATTTTTCAATATTAAATGGATATCCAATTCCATCCATGAAATTTGCTTTGAACTACCAGCCCGACATGGCGATCGCATTTTGACGACATACCTTAAATCGGGCACCTGGTAGTCTACCTAAATCGTGTTCACCGACCGCGTCGACCCCTAAACTAATAACCAGTGACTGTGCCACAATTTTTAAAATTATTTATGTAATATATTGGTTGCATGACAATACAATTGTAAATATACTGTATATTTAGTCATCTATGGTGCTTATAATTAAAAAAGATTAAATCTGTCATAACCAAAATTATTAATTTCACCAAGAAATCTCTCAAAAATCTAAATTGGTAAAATGAATATAAGCATGATTTACAGGAATTCCTTAATAGCATCTTCATTGATAGTATTGGCAACACTAACACCCCCGTCCACAAACAAGTTGGTACGGGTGACAAAAGCAGCATGGTCACTAGCCACGTATAGTATGGAGTCAGCCACATCAACGGATTCCCCCATGTGACCTACCATGGTCAAATTCCTGGACTCAAAATTCTTATCCGGGAGCTCCATAGTTATTCGTAATGATTTCATAAATTCGGTACTAATGGCACCAGGGCTATTGTATACCAGTATATCAAATTTATTTTTTATACATTGTTAAAACGAGCTAGTTTAATTTTATATCATTATGCATAAATGAACAAAGTTTAATCAAATCTGGTTTCACAAATATTTTCCTATATAAGCAACATTTCTCTGCTTTCTACTAAAGTATAAAATCTTTTATCGTTTCTATAATTGTAAACTTGTTTTATTCTCAATGTGGCCAAAACTAGCCTATACCCTATATGTTTTAATGGATATAGGCTAGTCTTGGCCACATTAAGAATAAAACAAGTTTACTATAAGTTAATATTGAATCGTGAGTTAATTAGCAAACACAAGGTTGTCATGAAGCCAATCTATAGAAAACCCTGGTCTTGTAAATGTTCATCAAAAAATATTGTATACTGATAGAAAATTTTAATAAGTAAATAATTACCCGTATATTTTGCCGTATTTCACGCTCCAATTAAGGTCTGGCATTGCTTGGTAATTATAGAAATAACTCGCAAAGTTGCCAACTATTGGGATAAGTGCAGGGCCATTTATTCCCAAATTGCGGAAATAATTGAAGTACCTGGTCAAATATCTAATTTTAAATAGATAAGCATTTTGAAATTCATATTAGGCATTTAAAAATATTTATTGAAAATTGTTTTTATTTAAACATATGATTATTTAAAATAAATGCCTTTCTCATATTTATATCACTAATTAAACTCGTAAAAATTTAGTTTAATAATATTAAATATTTTAATAACTGGAACTAACAGGATTGTAACATATATTTTACTTAAATCTAAATTATAATTAGATTTTAATTATAACCTTTATAATGCAATTAAAACTATGCAACAAATAAACAATAAAATAATTTAAAAATCCATTTCTGGTTAATAAATATTATTGGTACTTATCCAATTATTAAGTTATTAATGATGACCTTTATTAAATTCTTAGAAACTAATAATATCTTAATATACTTGCATATTAAAGTTATATTGGCACTATTGACATAAAAATTAGAAATCAATGGATATTATTATGCCAATACATGCTACCTTCTGTGCAAATAATATCACTGAAAGAATTTTTAAATTATTCCAATTAATACAGAAATGGCAGCGTTTTGAATTTTTACAATTTTGGCAATTTTGGCAATTTTGGCAAAAATTGTACATAAATCAGTAGAGAATTAGCTCGTTGCGAAAATAAACAATTTTATCAAGATGCACCTATAATCAGGATGCACCTATAATCAAGATGCACCTAATATCACCTAGTTCAATGAACCTGTAATTATTGTGGCAGATAACTAATATCAACAAACTCGTAATCATTGGGTGTTTGACCTTGACCTTGTGGGTTTTATGACCCGTTTTAACAAGACAAGAGTTGAGCTCCCCCAACAACTGTCGAGTTATTTATTTATGTAAGTGGGCGTCACTCCACTTTGTCTAGGGTGCGCTCCCTAGATATAATATACAATTCAAGGGGGCGCTAATCCCTTCACCTAGAATGACGTTTCCTAGGAAATACAGGAGCACTAATCCTGTTGAAAGTTTCATTGTCTAACGGGTGCTCATTAGACAGATCATGGCACGAATCCTGATATAATAGTTTTTAATCATCTAATGAGTGCTCATTAGATATATATCCATATGGAAATGTTAAATCTCCTTTTAGATATCTTTTATCCGATGTAGCTCTAAATACTTTATCACAATATCTAGTTTTAATTGAATTAAATTTATTTATTACAAATTGCCGCTGACTGACGAGTATTACATCTCTGTCAGTATGAAAATTCTCTGCCAATTCTACAATTTTGGCAAAATCAATTTTTTGTTTAGCAAGGCATGTCAAAGATATACCTTTACATTTAATATCTGAAATTACTGATTTATCAGATTTGACAACGGAATATCCATAATTCTTAGGACCTAATGAAGCAAACTCAAAACATTTCGCTCCAGACCCATATTTATCACAAATTTCATCAGTCAAATCTCCGAGATACACACCACATTCAATTTGTGATCATGTACATTTCTAACATAAATAACGGAATCTGTATCATGATACAATAAGCTATATGGTCTAATATTTTCAATTTTATCCATTAATTTATATAATTTAATTCAAGCATAAGCAGTCACAAATGATGCCACAGTTAAATTATAATTCTTAGCCTTTGCAAAATCATCTTCAATATATTTCCATGTAACAATTAACGTATCATCGTTAACTGAATATTCACCAGTTAATTCTTTTTGTTTATCTAATATTAAATCAAAATATTGATTAGTAGTTTTAACTATTTCTACTTGTGATTGATTAGGTCTCTGGGGAAATTTTCCCCAGAATGAATTTAACATAATTTTAGCAATAAATCTTAAAGCTTCATTTTTTTCAATCTTATCAAATCTTAAATCTATTCCCTCTTTTAATTTATAATCTATTGATTAGGTCTCTGGGCAAATTTTCCCCAGAATGAATTTAACATAATTTTAGCAATAAATCTTAAAGCTTCATTTTTTTCAATCTTATCAAATCTTAAATCTATTCCCTCTTTTAATTTATAATCCAAAATATAATTTTGTTTATCTACATCAGATATATAATTTGACGGCCATCCAGATGATTCCTGTTTAATTTGAAGCCACATATCAATATATTTTCTAAATTTATTTGTTTGAATATCACAATTAAAATTTAAAACTTCATAAATTTCATTTATTTGATATCCCTTATCTATTGCTAATTTTAACTCTTCGCTTACCCATGTTCCAATAAATGACCTATCATCACAAAGACAATCATTTGATTTTTTCGATGCACAATTAGCACATAAAGGGAACAACAATTTAGAATCAATGGAAACAGGTAATACTGGGAGATATAAATTGGTAGGTGCTGTAACTTTACATTTAATTATTCCAAAATATGATTTTAAGGAATAATCAAAATTACAGTTAATTAATTCTGGGTGATCTACAGGATACGGAAAATATTTCAACACATAAGGATATAAACTACAAAAATCTAAATATTTAATTTCTTCATCATTAGAAATATTCTTATGAAATTGAATATTATTAGTTCGACCCCCAAAGAAAGCATCACGTATATTTATATGCCCAATCTTTTCCATTTTCTTATAATATTTAAATCTATTATTATAAAATTTTTTCATTTCTAAATCTCTAGACAATTCAGTCTTAAAATTACATTCCCAAACATAAACAACTGAATATGTTTTTCGAAGGAAATCAAGTCTAGTTAGTGTTTGAGTATATTTATCATTTAAACTAAAAGATTCACCTCTCGAGTTAATTTTTTGTTCATTTCTGTCAATATTATTTTGACAAAGACAACCATGAAAGTAACAACCAAAATATTCATATACTGTATTTGTATTGACATCAAAACCATCTACCCAATATTTTCCAATTCTATATTCTCGTGATAATTTAATATTATTTATATATTCTAAACAATCTATCCAACAACTCCCTGAAATTGAATAATTTTTACATTTTTTATAATACCCTTCAACAGGTGTATTGGCCAATTCAAATACGTCAAGAAATAAAGCGGTAAAAGTTTCCATAGCAATTGAGGCCAATGTAAAAGATCGAGTTATTGGATCTAAAGTTGTAATTTCTCTAAACAAATTTCTAAACTTCATTACACACTTTAATAAAATATCTACGTCATTTAAGCAATAGCTAATCAATTCATTTTTAAAATTCCAATCATTAATATGTAATTGAGTGAAGTACCATTCTTCTAGTTTATTCTTTTTATCACTGCTCATATATTCAACACCAAAATAGCTCAAATCAGGGATTTTTCCTATATAACTATAATTTTCAACTTTATTAAATAAATGAGGAAAATCCCCTTTTTTAATACTAATATCTAACCCTAAAGCTTTTGGTAACCTATCAAGAGGTTGTAGAAAGAAATTTAACGAATCCAATAATTTTATATTACCACATTGAATAAATAAAATTTTTCTTCCCCGTAGAATAACTGTAACTTTATCATAATATCGACCCCAAAGCTCCTTAAGTATAAATTGAGCGTCGTACCCACGAGCATTGTGGGCGAAAGCATAAATTAAAGAATTATTATTCTCAGCACTTATGGCAAGATTATTAAATAAATAATCAACAAATTTTACAATACATTCATTACCAAAATAAATATTTTTCTTTTTATGACATATTGTACATGAGCTATTATTATTGCACTTGTCACAAATAGCTTTACTAATTAAAAGATTGGGAATATGTTCAAGATGTTCTTGAGTTGATTCTACATCATAGGAAACAATTATCTTATTAATATCATCCTCTTTATGTAAAAGATCTATATTTTTGGGTTTAATATAACAATAATGAGGCTGTATTCTATTATATTCATTACACTTTTTACAAATATATTCACCACATTTGTGTTTATTTTTTCCTTTAATTTCCAAATCACACTTATCACAATATTTAACATTATCACATACTTTATTAGTTATATGTCTATCATAACAATCTTTTCCTATAAAATCTCTATTACAATCTAAACAATGATGTTTTATTTTATTAGCTGAATTACAATTTTCATAACATTTATCACATTTTAAAGGACATTTGTGATTGTAAAATTGATCGTAGCCTACATGACAATTTTTACAAAAATAACTTCTCCTATAATACCCTTGTATATTCGTTATAGAATTGTAATGATTATTATAATACTCTAGATAAAGTTTATTTTCCAAATTATTTGGACCTCTAAATAAAATATTCAATTTATTTGCCGAGTCAATTATAATAATCTGATAATTATTTAATTTTCTTTGAATCATAGGCCAATCAGTATCAATAGCTAAAGGGGTATTATAATTATACCCAACTAATAGTGCTAATTTAATGGCTTCATCCTTTTGTTTATTACAATTACTATTCTTAACTAGACTCCATTCATGTAAATCTAAATTAAATTTATTTTGCAAGTGATACATTGAAACAAATAATGCCCTGAATCCACAAGAATGATCATTATTCTTTATTGTTACAACAGAATTCTTACTACAACTAATTTGTTTTATAGTTTTAGGAGCTTTAGCAACTTTACCTTTACCAATTGCTGGTTTTGTTAATATAACTACCAATTCAAAAACCCCACTACCAAGAAAAGGCTTAAAACTTTGAGCAATTTTTTCTAAACGCTCAAATACTGTTGATATATTAAAATTCCTTACCTTTTTAGGCGCAACATATATCGGTGTTTCCATTTCATTGTGAATTAGTGAAACTGATGCATAATCTTCAGGATGAGCACTTTCAAGTAAACCACTAAATAATTTATTAAATTCAAATTCAAATTGACTTTTCATTAAATACAAATTGGGCTCAACATTTATATTATGTTGAATGGTAAATGATGTTTTTAGCTCTTTACGGTTAAATTTTTTCACAGTTTTACTTGAAACAC